CTAAAAATAAATAAAACATTAAAAAAAAAAAAAAAGAACTGCTCAAAACAGATATAAGCAACATAACTGAACAAGAGTATATAACAGTAGTCATAAAATTAATCTCTGGGCTTGAAAAAGGCATGGAAGACATCAGAGAAACTATTGCTACAAAGACTATGAAGCTCAAAAATAGTTGTGATGAATTAAAAAAATGCTCTAAATGAGGTGCATAATAAAATGGAGGCATCCAATGCACGATTGAAGAGGCAGAGAGGAAAATAGATGACTTAGAAGACACAATTATAGAAAAAGAGGAAGCTGAGAAAAAGAGATAAACTGATCCAGGAACACGAAAGGAAAGTTCGAGAGCTCAGCAATACAATCAAACGGAACAATATCCATATCATAGGAATTCCAGGAGAGGAAGAGAGAGGGAAATGTGCTGAAGGAGACCTTGAACAAATTATAGCAGAGAACTTCCCCAATCTGGGGTAGGAAACAGTGAAATCCAAGAGGCACAGAGAACTCCCCTCAGATGTAACTTGAATCGATCTGCATGACATATAGTGAAACTGGCAAAATATAAGGACAAAGAGAGAATTTTGAAAGCAGCTAGGGAGAAAAGGGCCCTAACATATAAAGGGAAACCTATCAGAGTGGTGACAGACCTATCTACTGAAACTTGGCAGGCCAGAAAGGAATGGCAGGAGATCTTCAATGTGATGAACAGAAAAAATATGCAGCCAAGAATCCTCTATCCAGCAAGCCTGTCATTCAGAATAGAAGGAGAGATAAAAGTCTTTCTAAATAAAAGTGGAAAGAATTCGTCACCACTAAACCAGCCTTACATGAAATCCTGAGGGGGACTCTCTGAGGGAAATGTTGCAAGGAACCCAAGATACTAGAGACACCACTACAAGCATGAGTCCCACAAAGGACACGATGACTCTAAACCCATATTTTTCAATACTAGCACTGAATATAAATGGACTAAATGCCCCAATCAAAGACATAGGGTAGCAGAATGGTAAAAAAAACAAAATCCATCTGTTTGCTGTCTATAAGAAACGCATTTTAGACTGGAGGACACCTTCAGATTGAAAGTAAGGGGATGGAGAACTATCGATCATGCTACTAGAAGTCAAAAGAAAGCTGGTGTAGCTATACTTATATCAGACAAACTGGACTTTAAAGTAAAGGCAGTAACAAGGGATAAAGAAGGGCATTATATACTAATTATAGGGTCTGTCCATCAGGAAGAGCTAACAATTATAAATGTCTATGCACCGAATATGGAAGCACCTAAATACATAATTAATCACAAACAGAAACAATCTTATGAATAAGAATGTGCTAATAGCAGGGGATTTTAATACTCCACTTACAGCAATGGAGAGATCAACTAGACAGAAAATCACTAAAGAAACAATGGACTTGAATGACACATTGGCCAGATGGATTTGACAGATATATTTAGAACTCTACAACCTGCGGTCATGGAGTTCACTTTCTTCTCAAGTGAGCATGGCACATTCTCCAAGATAGATCACATACTGGGACTTAATGCAGCCCTCAATAAATATAAAAGAATTGAGATCATACCATGCACACTTTCAGATCCCAGTGCTACGAAACTCGAAATCAATCACAGGAAGAAGTCTGGAAAACCTCCAAAAACATGGAGGTTAAAGAACACCCTACTAAGGAACGAATGGGCCAATCAGGCAATTAGAGAAGAGATTAAATAATATATGGAAACAAATGAAAATGAAAATACAACAATCCAAACTCTATGGGATGCGGCAAAGGCAGTCCTAAGAGGAAAGTACATTGTACTCCAGGCCCATTTCAAGAAATTAGAAAAAGCACAAGTACAAAATCTAACAGCTCACCTAAAGGAACTAGATGGAGAGCAACAAGAGCACCCCAAACCCAGTAGGAGAAGAGATAATAAAAATCAGGGCAGAAATAAACAATATAGAAACCAAAAAAACATTGAACAGATCAATGAAACCCAAGAGTTGCTTTTTTGGAGAAATAAACAAATTTGACAAACTTCTAGCCAGGCTTCTTGAAAAGAGAGAGCACTCAGACAAAATCATGAATGAAAATGGACTTATTACAACCAACCCCTCAGAAATACAAGCAATTATCAGGGAATAATATGAAAAATTATATGCCAACAAACTGGGCAACTTAGAAGAAATGGACAAATTCCTAAACACACACTCACTACCAAAATTCACACGGGAGGAGGTAGAAAATCTGAGCAGACCCATAATTCGTGAAGAAATCGAATCAGTTGTCAAAAATCTCCCAACAAATAAGAGCCCTGGGCCCGATGGCTTCCCTGGGAAATTCTACCAGGCATTTAAAACAGAATTAATACCCATTCTTCTCAAGCTATTCCAAAAAATAGAAATCAAAGGAAAACTTCTGGACTAATTCTACAAAGCCAACATCACTTTGATTCCCAAGCCAGACAGAGACCCAGCAAAAAAAGAGATCTACAGGCTAATATTCTTGATGAATACGGACGCAAAAATTCTTAAGATACTTGCAAATCGAATTCAACAGCACATAAAAAAAAATTATCCACCATGATCAAGTGGGATTCATTCCTGGGTTACAGGGCTGGTTCAGTATTCACAAATCAATCAATGTGATACATCACATCAACAAAAGAAAAGATAAAAACCATATGATCCTGTCGATAGATGCAGAAAAAGCATTTGACAAAATACAGCATCCCTTCTTAATAAAGACCCTTGAGAAAGTCAGGATAGAAGGAACTTATTTAAACTTATTTAAACATCATAAAATTTGGGAGAGGGTAAGTGGTGTGATTGGCATGGAGGAGGGCACTTGTGATGAGTACTGGGTGTTATATGGAAACCAAATTGACAAGACAGTATTATAAACATAAACAAACAAACAAGTAAAATTTAAAAACAAGTGAATAAATGGGAAAAAAAAAAAAAAAGGTAATCTCTGTACCTAACGTGGGGCTTGAACTCAGAACCTTGAGATCAAGTCTCATGCTCCACCAGCTGAAAAGTCAGGTACCCTGAAAACTGCTTTGTAAAGGGAAATGATTTAGAGCAAGTAAAGTTTAATATAAAAGTAGTGCAATAATTGAAAATAATACAAAAGAGCAGTCAGTCTAATTTCTAGTATATTATAATAAGTTTAATAATTTATTGCTGTTTTATAGAATACCAAAATTGTCAGCAAAAGTGTTCTTTTGGATATTTTATGATTTTAATCAGTAAACTTTAGAGGATTCTCAAGGTTTTGCTTTTATTTTGTTTTGCCTTATTGGTTTATTGTTACTTTTGGATCTGACTGCAAAATTCAAAGCTGTGCGATTTTTCTCACAGTGACTTTATTCTTGAGTTAAACATGCAAATATTTTAATATGTTTCACCTTTATGATTACTGACAACAGGTCTTCCTGACACTTGTGATAGCATTTTGGAGAAATGGTTGAAAGAAGGTTTCATTAAACACAAACCCGATCAGTTGACTGTAAACCAGTATGAACCTGGACATGGTGAGTGCTTCTTCTTTCAACACTCCAACCGGGTATTTCATAACTTAAGTAGAGTATGTAACTCCCTAAAATCAAAGATATTATTTTTTGTGTTAAACTAACTTTTCACAGTAATTTGCTTATGTTTGTTACCTGTAAGTCAAATGTTAATCCCTTGAGGAACTTGCTTCTCAGAGCAGACATAAGCAGACTGACATTGTCACTGTGTGATTTTTGTGATTTCTTTTTTGTTCGCTCGCTTCTCAATGTTTCATTTAGAGACGGGCGGTTGTTTTAGGCATAGGAGACAGGTGTGATAGAGGATCCAAATAATTGACAAATACCTGTATTCTCCCTCTTCTTTCCCCTCCAAGAATGTGAAGACAATTCTAGGATGATACTTCAGTAAAAAATCTTTAGGGTCCTGATTTTTTTTTTTGCATTTATTAGCATCTTCATTTGATGTTTGTAGTACTGAAATGACCTTAAGGATTTTATTAATGTCAGGCATCGTGGGGTTTTGTGTTTTTTCCTGCCTTTTCACAATGTATTACAATTGCCTATTTACCTGTCAGTCTTTCTGTTGGTCTGTACGCTCCTTGAGGACAGAGGTGTGTCTCACTTGCCTTATGTACTCTCATCATGTGGTACAGTTCCTTTTTCTAGAAGATACTGAGCACAGATGAGAAACTGGTAGAGGAAGCCACAACTTAATTATTGATAGGCTCAGTCCTCACACCTGACTGTCGCTTTTGTTCTGCGTGTACTTGGGAATCCATTGTTCAGGGAATTGACTTTGGTATTTATCTTTCACACCTTTCTCTTGGGCTGGGATTGGGTAAATGTCCTAGGTCAGCGTTGACTCTCATGTTTTTGGTTTTGTTTTTTAATTGTTTTATAGTTTTTAATTTATTTTTGTGACACAGAGACAGAGCATGAGCAGGCAAGGGGCAGAGAGAGAGAGAGGGTGACATAGAAACCGAAACGGGCTCCAGGCTCTGAGCTGTCAGCACAGAACCCGATGCGGGGCTCGAACCCACCAACTGCGAGATCATGCCCTGAGCTGAAGACGGACACTTAACCGACTGAGCCACCCCGGCGCCCCCTTGAATCTTGCATTTTGATTTCAGAATTGAGTGCCAGTGGCACTTCAACATGACGTTAAGAAATTTTTAGTTGAGATTTAGTTTGATTTTATTTAGTCACATTCACCCTAAATGTTTCCTTTTAACTAAAATTATCGTACATTCCCAATTATCACACAGTGTTCTCACCATAGTACATGAAGAGTCATCTTAAATCTACTAACAGGAGAAATGAAGTGACGTGTTATTTTATTTTCTGTCCCAGGAATTCCTGCTCATATTGACACACATTCTGCTTTTGAGGATGAGATTGTTTCTCTCAGTCTGGGGTCAGAGGTAAACGTTCAAATATTATTAGCTGTCTACAAGCCTGTTACCTTATATGATGCCATTTCCATAGGATTAGTACTTTTGTTTCTTACGGAATGTAAAAATATCGCAGCCTCATTTTTCAGGTGTCTGAAGATTTATCCATCAGCTCATCAGCTGCCAGGAAAACCCCTGTAATTTAACTTGATTTTTCACACATTTCCTATAGCCCTTGAGGACAGTCCAGACTGGCCTTACCCATGTGGCACTGCCATCTAGTGGCAGAAGGCAGTAGCTGCCGGCTACGCAGAAAGGAAACATAATTTTGATGCCTTTTCACATAATATTTTTTTTTTTTTTTAAATTTTTTTAATGTTTTATTTATTTCTAGGAGAGAGAGAGAGACAGCGTGAGCAGGGGAGGGTCAGAGAGAGAGGGAGTCACAGACTGAAACAGGCTCCAGGCTCTGAGCTGGCAGCCAGCACAGAGCCCGACGCGGGGCTCGAACCCGAACCGCGAGATCATGACCTGAGCGAAAGTCGGACGCTTAACCGACTAAGCCACCCAGGCGCCCCTTCACATAATATATTAACTGACTTGGTCTCTTCAGAACCCCTGAGCAGTACAGGGTATTATACTCATTTTTGCAGATAAAGAATAAGTTAAGAGGCTCATGTTTATTCATTGACTTGTTCTTAACGCTGCCCTTTACTTGAACTGTTAAAAATGCAAAAAGCAGGGCACCTGAATGGCTCAGTCGGTTAAGCATCCAACTTCGGCTCAGGTCATGATCTCACAATTTGTGGGTTCAAGCCCCGCATCGGGCTCTGTGCTGACAGCTTGCTCAGAGCCTGGAGCCTGCTTCAGATTTTTTGTCTCCCTTTCTTCTCTGACCCTTCCCTGCTCATGCTGCCTCTCTTTCTCTCTCAGAAATAAATGAAACATTAAAATTTTAAAAAAATGTAAAAAGCATGATTTAAAGTGATGGGTGCAAACTGCAGATAGAATTTTAGTTAAAAATCAGAATTTTAAATCCAGAACCCTTAACATATGAGGTCATCTAATCTAAATAGAGGTTGCTTCAAAATCTGAGCTTGTTCCTGGAAGCAAATACAATTGACTATGTTTTTTTTGTTTTTTTTTAAGTATTTATTTTGAGCGAGAGAGAGAAAGGGAGAGAATCCCAAGAAGATCTGGGCTCATGATCCATGAGATCATGACCTGAGCCGAAACCAAGAGTTGGACGCTTAACCGACCGAGCCACCTGGTGCCCCAAGTGCTTTGGCTTGTTAACCCATGCAGAGCTCGTATGATCATTTGATAATGTGACAAGCATGTTGGTGTCATTTGATGAGATGGAACCATCGTATCAACTACATGTGTTGATTTTTATTAAATGCTTTAAAAATGATGATGACGGGTAGGAAAAAGAAAGAGATCTTCTCTGTCTGGCTTACTTTTATCTTACCTCTTCATCCTGGCTTGTGGCTCCAGGGGATCAGTAAAGAACATCTGTGTCCTTTCCTCTCAGCTGGGTACCCAGCTGAGAAAGGAGACCTAACTGGAGATCAGATCAGCTTTACTACTGAGAAAACCCTAGATCTGTAGCCAAGTGTTCTTGTTAAAACTTCCCCTCTTAGTTAATAGACATGTTGTGCTTGTCCCTGGCACAGCCAGACGCCTGGACACCTTCCTCATAGAGGCAGACTCTTCCTCTAGAATGGGACTTGGAGGAGCCCACGCTGGGCTCTGCAAACCAGCTAGGTCTGAGGGAGAGGGAGGAGCTCAGCTAGGCACGGGTGGCCCCAGGCCAGCCACTCCGCGGAAGCCAGGCCTTCTCTCCCGGGGAGTTAGAGGTGAGGGAGGGGAGTAAAAGCCTGATATGTTCTATACTCTCACCCCGGGGGACATTCCCTCCCCTCCTAGGGAGATGTGAGGACTGGGAACTAAGTGTTCCCCCACAGCTGAAAGTGGTAGAGAAGGGAAAACAAGCCCTTACCTGCGCCCATGATCTGCTGTAATTGTCGTCTCCACTTGGTGTCTCTGAAGGCACATGCCTGTTAGCTGCCGTGTGCATGGCGGGGTCTTGTTTACAGCTGTCCTGGTGGGAGCCAGGAGGCACATCGTGACAGGGAGCAGGGACGCGTGCGTGTTCTGCATCGTGACAGGGAGCCGGGACGCGTGCGTGTTCTGACTCGGAGCAGTGTGTATGTGTAGAGACTTCTTACTAAGGGGGCTGCTTCTGGGGCTCCTTCCTGGAAGGTGTAACGAAGAGAAGGTTACATCCGCGTGGCCTCAAAGTAAGAGTCCCCGTGCTCACCAGAAGGTGGCTCCAGCTTTTCTTTCCCACTGCAGCACCTGCGCCGCGCGCCGTTTCCGTGCCCACTGTCGCATCCGTGCCGGGTGCAGTTTTGTTACCCACTGTCGCACCTGTGCCGCACCTTCGCCGCGCGCCATTTCCGTGCCCACTGTCGCATCTGTGCCGGGTGCTGTTTTGTTACCCACTGTCGCACCTCTGCCGCACCTGCGCCGTGCGCTGTTTCCGTGCCCACTGTCACATCTGTGCCGGGTGCTGTTTTGTTACCCACTGTCGCACCTCTGCCGCACCTGCGCCGTGCGCTGTTTCCGTGCCCACTGTCGCATCTGTGCCGGGTGCTGTTTTGTTACCCACTGTCGCACCTCTGCCGCACCTGCGCCGTGCGCTGTTTCCGTGCCCACTGTCACATCCGTGCCGGGTGCAGTTTTGTTACCCACTGTCGCACCTGTGCCGCACCTTCGCCGCGCGCCATTTCCGTGCCCACTGTCGCATCTGTGCCGGGTGCTGTTTTGTTACCCACTGTCGCACCTCTGCCGCACCTGCGCCGTGCGCTGTTTCCGTGCCCACTGTCACATCTGTGCCGGGTGCTGTTTTGTTACCCACTGTCGCACCTCTGCCGCACCTGCGCCGTGCGCTGTTTCCGTGCCCACTGTCACATCCGTGCCGGGTGCAGTTTTGTTACCCACTGTCGCACCTGTGCCGCACCTTCGCCGCGCGCCATTTCCGTGCCCACTGTCGCATCTGTGCCGGGTGCTGTTTTGTTACCCACTGTCGCACCTCTGCCGCACCTGCGCCGTGCGCTGTTTCCGTGCCCACTGTCGCATCCGTGCCGGGTGCAGTTTTGTTACCCACTGTCGCACCTGTGCCGCACGCTGTTTCCGTACCCACTGTCGCACCTGTGCCGCGCGCAGTTTCCGTGCCCACTGTCGCACCTGCGCCGCGCGCTGTTTGCTTTTCCTGCTGTGCGATTGCTGGTTCTTTACCCCCTGGCCTGGAATCTGGCTCCCAGACTCCTGTCCTTTTTTCTCTATTTTCTCATCTTGACATCCGTGATTGTAAGAAATTTACTATAGTGTCTATTCTAGCTTCTCTCCTATTGTAATAATTTGTCAGCTGAACCGGTTTTTTAGTGTTTGTTTTATTTGTTTCTCCTTGGCCAAAATCTTTGAGATTATATTTAGCTCTTCCTTTTCCTAGAAACTTTCTGAGAACGCCTATTTTTTTAAATTGAGTATAATTGACTTAAAATATTATATTGATTTCAAGTGTGATGCAGTGATTTGACATTTTATGTGCATTACAGAATGATTAGCCATAGCAAGTCTGATCACATCTGTGGAGTTCTGTCAAAGAAGTTGTGTCTGCTGCATAGATCCTTTCTCCCTTCTCTGTCCTTAATGGCACATTTGTGATATTTTCCATCATCTCAGTAGTGTCCTCAGCATCGAAAAGATGATATCTCCCTTCATTTTCTGTATGTGTGTGGGTGTAGGGTACTTTGTATCCATAGCCTTGGTATGGCAGTGTACATTGATGTAGGAAGAGAGTGTAACTTTCACATGGGGATAGTTTCCTTATAGTACAGTCAGCATGGTGTTGGGCCACATCTTCCTTTTTCTTTTTATCCAGTGTGTCCCTAACATTCAGAACTTCTGTGGATGAGTAGATCTCCTGGTTTGTGGGCCAGAAATAAATGCCTTACCTTACTCGGTCATATTTGTTTTTATAATCAAATTCTCCTTTCTCTCAAGTATTTACTCCCCTAACTTGTGTTCTGAAGAGTCCTATTTTTGTGTAATTTCTTATCTTTCAAGGTCCCCTGAAGCCAAAATTTCCTTTTGTGTCAGTTGGGCAAATGAGGTTCCGCTGACTTTTTTTTTCCAAAAATTTTAATGTTTGTTTATTTTGAGAGAGAGGGAGACACAGAATCCGAAGCAGGCTCCAGACTCTGAGCTGTTAGCACAGAGCCCGACACAGGGCTTTATCTCACGAACCATGAGATCATGACCAGAGCCGAAGTTGGACACTTAACCAACTGAGCCACCCAGGTGCCCCAAGGTTCTGCTGATAATTTTTAAAGTGTACTCTTTATCTTCTCTATATGCAGTAATATATTCATGCCCTTACAGTAAGAATAATGGCAAAGAGATGTGCCTGTTTCAGCCAGTAATCTGCTGATGGAGTCCGTTTCATGGTGCAACATCATGAAGTACACATTTTGTTGTTTTTTAGTCTTCCAGGTACTAATTCTTGGATCTTTCAGGTAGAATTTGTACATTTGCTTCACAGCAAGATAGCAGCATTATGTCACTCAAGGTATGTAGAACTGGAATAAAATGTCAGTAGACTGCAGAAAACTACACTAGAGGCCAATTTTAGGAGATGAAGTTGGAACCACTGGTTGGCTGCTCACTGAGAAATCACTGAAATTTGGGAATAATAATAATGAAACATACATGTATATTGCAAACATTTTGTTTTAACCCACATCATTTTACTTACCAGAATTTTGATGTAGGTCCTTTTCTGTGAGCGTCCACGGTCTGCCTTGTCTTTCCAGTTTTCATTCCTTTAAAACGAAGCAAAAGCTTAGACACACATATGGAAACTTCTGGGGATTTAGGTTTTGATGTTTTTATTTCCAAGGTTTTATTATTGAACTGTCACATCTGTTACAACAGTTCATTATTTTGTCCACTGTTACTGAGTT